CCTACTTAATTATTTTATGTACAATTTTTATTATAATGTTATCTTTACACATATTTTTTCTATATAGTACTCCCACATAGTACTTTTCGAACTACCTCGTGGTGCACCTCTCCCTTCCTTTTTATTACTTTTTTATTTTTATTTTTTAAAATGTTTTATTCATTTTATTATTTTATGAATACTTTTTTGCAGTTTAATTTTTTTTACATCTGTTTTGCTTTTTTCTAATCTTTTTTTTTTTTTTTTTTTTTTTTTTTTTTTTTTTTTTTTTTACTTTTCCAATTGCTCTTTTATAGTTTAATCTTTTAATCTTTTCTTCTCCTTTTTTAACTTTTCCTCTTTTTCTCTTTTTCTCTTTTTATTTTTTCTTCTTTTCTTTTGCCTATTGTCTTTTTATTTTTCTCTAATATTCTTTGACAGTTTTCTTTTAATATCCTTCTTTAAAATACTTTATTGTTTCTTACTTTCTCTTAATTAAAACAATTCTTTTCAAATATGTTCCTATGTTTTTTTTTTGTCAAATACTCTTGTATAACATTAATTCTTTTTTTCTTTTTCTATTTTTGCTCTTTTTCTATTTTTCTATTTTTTTTTTACTTTTTTTCTTTTTTTTTTCTTTTTCTTTTTGCTTATTGACTTTTTTTGTTCTTCTCCTAACATTCTTTAACCATTACATTTTTCTTTTTACAAAATATCCTTCTCTAAAATACTTTGTTTTTTTTCACTTTCTTTTAATTAAAACAATTCATTTCAAATGTCTACACACTTAAGTTTTTTTTTGTTTTTTCAAAAACTCCTATATAATTTTTATTCTTTTTGGATATGATTTTTAAAATATTTTTTTTTTCTCTTGCTCTAATTAATGGGCTTAACTTTTAAGTATGCTACGTATTTTGACGCATGATCAAACTTACAACCCCACGTGCATAGCACATGACTCAACTAGTAGAAAATTAAAAGGTGATACTATCTGTCAAAAAAAAAAAAAGAAAGCCTCCTTGTGATGACACATGTCAAAAGAAAAGAAAAGCTTTTGACTCTTTTATATGTGTAAAAATGTAAAGATAAAGATTAAGAGATAAGAGATAAGGGTTTTTTAGACACTGAAAAAATGAATTACTGAAAAAATTATGTTTTTAAATCATCATATTTGTATCACAAACTGTTTGTTCGACATACTTTTTTTTATTCTATTGTAATTTTAATTAACTTTAACAATAAAAAATTGAGCTTAACGTAGGGAGGCTCTACCAAGAAAAAAAGAACTATTAATTATTACAAATTACATCTTCTCTAGAATTTACCATAGTGTCCCCTATACATACTAACATATATTTTTGAAAGACCAGATTTTTTTTATAGGATTTTTTAGTAAGGAATTATTACTTACATTTTGAATATTTGAACATTTATATTTTCATATTGCAATTTTATGCTTCAAGGTTTATGTACAACCCATGCATGCCCCTCCAAGCCTCGCCCGCCTAACCTCGTGGGACTTCAAATTGATAGTTGACTAAGAAAACACAAAAATTACGCATATATTCAAAATTTACAAGTAAAATTAACCGGATCATCTTCAATGTAAATATTAATACTAATTATATATTTAGCATCAAAAAATATAATATGATATGATTTTTTTCTTTAATACAATATGGAATTAAACCCATAACCCTCCACCCAAACTTCCCAATACCACTAGACCAAGAGGTCTTAGGCTATTTTAAATGCTCCAATGCATAATGTTATTTTCATTTTTGACCAAGAGATCTTAGGCTCTTTTGGGGTAATATGATAGAATGACTATCCAACAAAGTGAAATTAACAAAATGACATTCTTCTATTTTTTTTATGAAGAAAGACATTTACTCATTCTTTGTAAAAAGAGGTCATTTTGCAAATAAAATTTTTTAAAAAGTTATTTTACTAATAAAACTTTTTAAAAGAGTTATTTTTACAAAGGCCTCACTTTTTTGATATAGTATGTTATTTTCATTTGTTCTCCAATATATAATGTTATATATAATGCTAAATCTATTTTTTCTCATTCATTAAACTTTAAAAGTTGTAACAGTAAACTTTTATTTTTAAAATAATTAAAAAATACAAAAGTTGCAATGATTACATGAAAATTTTAACATTTCATAACAATCAAATGCCAAATTTTCCATATGCTATACTTGGTGGGAAATTGGCCACAAAGTATAACATATGGGAAATTTGACATAACAAATAACATTACATTTGAGAGTTTTTTATACTCAAATGCTAAATTTACAATTGACATATCAATTATACCATTGTATTGGAGATGCTCTATCTGCATAGCAATAGTATAATTGATGTGTCAATTGTAAATTTAACATTTGATTGTAAAAAACACTCTCAAATGTAATGTTATTTGTTATGTCAAATTTCTCATATGTTATATTTTGTGACAAATTTTTCACCAAATATAACATATGAAAAATTTAGCATTTAGTTGTTATTGATTGAAATGTTTACCTTTTCATATAATCGTTACAACTTTTATATTTTCAAATTATTTTTAACATAAAAATTTACTTTTACAACTTTCAAAGCTTAATAGTTATGAAAAAAAATTAGATTTAGCATTTTAAATTACATTTTACACAAAATAAAAATAAAAATAACATATTATATTATACTTTTTGATGATTAATATACAATTAACATTAACATTTTTATTGAAGATGGTCTTAGTATGAATTAATCTACCCACCCTTTTATCGTACACCAACATGAGAATGCGATTTGCACGGCAGCTTCGCACACTGCTGTGCGAAACTTTTTTTTTTCCTTCCTTTTTTTTCTTTGTTTTTTCCTTCTTTTCTTTTTCTTCGTATGTTTTTTCCCCACTTTATAATTTTTTTTTTCCTTTTTTTCAATATGTTGCCCTCGTAAATATTTTTCTCTATAATATTCATGTTAAAATAATTAATTCTCATACATATATACACACATATATATATTTTTATATAAACTTATACACACTAAACGAATTTTCTCCATATGAACAAAACTTTTCATCCACAGTCCTTTTTTGTTTAATTTTCTTTTTTTTTATCCCCCTCTTAATTCATTGCTATTTATTTTTCCTTATTATACATTCTGTTTTTCCTTTCTCAAATGTGACTCATAAGTATTTTTATTCTCTAATTATCTTATTAAAATAATTTCTTCTCATATATGTCTTTATCTAATTTATTTTAATGAAACGAAACGACCTCTCAAACACATTTTTTTATATGTGCTCAATAAATAACTTTTAACATATATGTAAAAAAAAAAAAAAAAAAAAGAGAAAAAAAACAACCTACTTATCAACGGATCTCCTCAAACAATGAAACATTTTGCCCTTTTTTCTTGCATTTTACGTTTTGCTTTAGTTTTTAGCCCTTCCTTTTTTAATTACATGTATTTGGCCTATTATTCTTTTCTCTTCACTTTTCTACTTTTTTAAAAAAATCTATTTATACTACATTATTAATAGTTTATAAGGAACGCTATTAGATTTTTCTACAAAACCTCGCGCACGCGTTTAAACTAGTAAATTAGCAAAAGCAATATGAGATTGAAAGGTATTTTTTTTTTTTTATCAAAATTAGATCGTTCACCAACAAAAAGTATGAATTGCGTTTAAATTTATAACATAAATGTATAAATATATGACGGTCCGAAAAACAAAGTTTAATTTTTCAATAACATAAAAAATATTTACATATTTTATCCGTAAGGGTTAATTAAAAAGTATATTTTTGGTTTTTAATTACTACAAAAGTGCACTATCGAATAATATTAAGGGAGAAAGAGGAAAATAGGTCAAGAGTTGAGATGAATTAAAATTAATAGGCCAATAGTTTACATAAGTTAATAAATATACCAAATTACTGTTTTTGTCCATAACTTGTCTGGTTATGAACCATAACTTGACAAGTTATTGTCCATTTTTGTCTATAATTTGTCTGGCTATGAATCATAACTTGACAAGTTTGTCCATAATTTATCTGGTTATGAACCATAACTTGACAATTTATGGTCTATTAATTTCTATAACTAAAAGTTGGCCTATATACTTCCTTAAGCTTTTCATATTGACATATTTTCTACTATTTCCGTAATATTAACTAAGCAAATGTATACCTTCTCTTAGGCAGCTGTGAATTACGATTATCAAAATGACCAAGATAACTTCAAGAGGAAAAAGAAAAGAAAATGAATAAACATTTCTTAGTAGTATACATGGGAATAATATCTAAATATGCAATCAGTAGGTTTGAGTTTTCAACTAGCTAGCAAAACCACATTAGGTAAAAAAAAAATGTTGATTTGCTTACCTTTTTTTTTCTTTTCTCTTGCTCTTGAAAAATCCCAACCGATTAGGGAGACCAAAAACATAAGGCAAATATAGAGAAGAATATCATTTAGAAATTATATATTGTGATTATGTAATAAATGGCAATGCAAATTAAAGAAACTATTTTAATGGGGTTTTTTTTTTTGGTTGTGCTTACCTCTATGGAAAATACAAGATCCATGATTAGTGAAAAATATTTATTTATAAGTGAATAATACATTGCACCAAAATCTCACTAATATTAGCGTGTGCTACTTGCCATAGTACAAGAGATTTGCCTACCAAAATTTCATTCATTATTACAGTAGTCAATGTAATGTACTATAACGTTTATGTAAAACATTTTCTTAAGAAAGAAAGAAAGAAATCATTTCTCCAAAAAGAAAAATTTGGTGGGACCAAGGGCCAAACTGTATGGGCCTCACTGATCCAACTTCCGCCACGCGTCCTATGCCAACATATTTTTTGGCACCAAAATCCTCTGCTTAACTGTAGTATTCCATTGTCGGATTCAAAGAGTGCAGACAGAGAAAATAAAATATTGAGAGAGAGAGAGAGAGAGAGAGAGAGAGAGAGAGAGAGAAGAAGAAGACAACAGTTTTTGCTTTTGGGGTCTTGTATGGCTTCAGAGAAGAACCAGAAATTACCAGTTTTTAATACTTTGGAGAAAGAAGAAGAGAGTGATCATGACAAGAAAGTCTCTTCTTCTTCAGCCATGACCAAGAAAGGAGCTTATGCTGCAATCTCTTACATGGTTTCTGCAGGTTATACATACATACATACACACATACATACATACATACATACATACATATATGTGTGTGTGTGTGTGTGTGTGAGTGTGTGTGTCAATATGCCTTGTTTTTATTAATATTTATATATGTTTTGTTCTATGCCGTTTTTCTTAAATGGGGTTTTCATGTAATTTCCCATGTTTTGATTTTTGGTCATTACTTTTCGTATTATGCATGTTTCTGTAGTTCTCATGTTCCGTTTGTTATGTGGGAAGAGGGCATTGGTTATAGTATGAAGTGATAAGAGTATTTACAATATTTAGGAAGAATAAATTTGTGATTCACGGCCACAAAAGTGAATGGGGAAAAGGATATAGTGATAATGTGTACTTAAAAGAGATCAAAGTGGAGGGGCCATGGAAGGGAAAGAAAGGAACCCATAGTGGATTTATAATGTCATTCACGGCCACAAATAATTGAGTTGCATCAAAACTAAGTTGTATAGTGGTGGAGGCGATTTTCAACTTTGATATTATTGTACTCTAACATGGACGTGACTTAGAACACCATTTTCCTTCTTGATGTTGGAAATATGGAGAAAATTTTTGTCTCTCAGCTCTCTACCTTTTTCCTATACGGTTATTTTGATATAATTTGGTCAAAAGCAAAGAGTTTTTTTTTTTTTTTTTTTTTTTTTTTTTTTTTTTTTTTTTGTGAATAACAGTAAAGTTTCAAAATTTAGACATAATTACTGTGTAATCCGTTATTTTGAGATATACCGTACATGTAGCCTATTTTTTAGTCAATGGAAATCAATCCGAACTGTTGATATTTTAGTTTCTTTTAGGTGAGATATTAACTTTCAAGGTTCCAGATCGATTAAGTCGTCATGGATGAAGTGACTGAAAAATGTCTTGCGTGATACATTTTAAAATAATGAGTTTGTATCATAGTTAATAAAAATCTATAAGCATCGATGTTAGTTTTCTCAAGCGTTTTGTATAACAATGTAGGAACTAGTTTCAATTGTATATGTGTCTAGATATTCTAACATTGTACTTCATTGCCATATTTTCTCATAATAAGTATAAACGCATTTTTCTCTGTTAATCTACAGTTCTTTTGGTGATGTTCAACAAAGCTGCCTTGTCTTCATACAAATTCCCATGCGCAAATGTCATCACACTTGTTCAGGTATCACACTTGCTAAGCGGGTTTTTTTTAGCCTTACAGTACAGTCTTGGGATCATTTAAATTTGAAAAAAAAAAAAAAAAAGTTCTAGCAAAACATTCTCTTGCTTCATACTTGATAAATTAGCCTCTCATATGTGATTTCCCAAAACAATGTCTTATTAAAATAAGAATTAGTGTTGTACCATACTTTTGTAATGTCCTATTTTTTTCTGAAACCCTTTAGGAAAAGGAGCAAATTCTATATTGGACAAAATATCATAACGGTGTTTTTTTTTTTTTTTTTTTTTTTTTTTTTCAATATAAACCAAGAGTACTGTCAATGGTCACGTTGTCCTTGCCTAATCTTTGAGTCGTGCTTGTGCTGGCCCAAAACCCTGGGGCTGGTCTAGTCCATGCCTATCATGCTTAGCCTAGCCCAAGATGACCTCGTGTCAATCAATGTTCTGTCCTGCCCGTTTGACATGTCTATATGAGTTTTGCATAAGGGGATAAAGTAAAGTGAGAATTGTCTCAATTAAAATTGATTATATTCTTGACACAGACATACAAAAAAAGTGACATATTTGGCTAAGATGCTTTCCAATCACACCTTCTTTTCTTTATTTGCTCATTTCGGTTTTTGATTATTTGTGTTTGTCTTATTAGATGGCATCTTCACTAGCATTGCTTTATGTAATGAAACGCTGGAAGATAATTTCTTTCACAGCTGAACCCCAAAGCAATACTGATAATCCAGGAACTCTAGTACCACTGAAGACATTAGTTCACACTCTTCCTCTTGCAATATCATATTTGTTCTACATGGTATGTTTTTGTCTTTGAAGTTTTTCGCCCTTTTTTTTTTCCCTAAACACAATGGCTCAGCTTGTAATGATGCATTTCTATATATGCTCTTCTTGTGAAAGTTGGTCACCATGGAATCAGTTCGGGCTATTAACGTTCCGATGTATTCCACCCTCAGACGAACTACAGTGGCATTCACAATGATTGTGGAGTACTTGTTAACTGGGAGTAAACATTCATATCCAGTTGTTGGCAGGTACACCTTAGTTTTTATCTTATTCGCTGATTGTTTCATTGATGACATTGAGAGGGATAAAGCAAAAGAAAAAGAAAAATGCATCAAGGCACCGCGTATATGCTAATAGAATAGGATGCGACCTCATACTATATTAGTGTATTGTGTTTAGCACCACACTGTTAAAGGATAAAAGGTATAAATAGTGCCCAATATGACACCGGTATAATTTGGTAAGTCCTTAACATGGATGTTAAGAATTAGATGCCTTAATCCTTTACTAACGCAAACAATAAAATAGAATTAAAGACAAAAAAGCACACACAAGATTTATATTGATTCACGTGCTAATTCTGCGCTAGAGTAACAAATAAGCTTCATTCATTCAATGATGGACTCCACATAGGTAAGACCCATTTATTATGAGTAGTATTTCCCGTCATTGTAAATGACAAATAGCACTTCACGGGTACTTTCATCATGTTATAAATGAATTCCATGTCTAATGCAAAGTGCCTATAAGTTATAGTGACTACCATGAGGTGCTATAGTATGTGTACTATGCCATCATTATGTTTAACTCTCTTTCTTTGAGACTGCTCTTCCCTGGTGATCTCGACCATTCTGCATAATTAAATTTCTATGAGGTTAGATTTCATTAATTACACTTCGGTGTTCCTAATTCCTTTCTCAATGGAACAAATCCAAGGATTTCATCAGTGTGGGGATGATATTACTTGGCGCCTTTTTTGCCGGGGCTCGTGATTTGTCTTTCGATGCCTATGGATATTCTGTTGTCTTTGTAGCAAACATTTGCACAGCAATATACCTTGCTTCAATTGCCCGTATTGGTAATTAATTTCTGCCTTCAATTTTTTTTCCTCATTTGATTTTTTGTTTCTCCTTCTTAACTTCCTACTGTTAACAGACCATGTGCTTTCAATATTTCAGGCAAATCCAGTGGTCTGAATACCTTTGGCCTTATGTGGTCCAATGGTAAGAGGAAGAAATCTCAGTAAATTCTGAAGATAACTCACCACGTAAATCTCTTTCAAATTTCTTTGTTTTTGTAGGAATAATATGCTTACCAATCTTGCTTTTGTGGACATTCATCAGTGGTGACCTAAGACTGATGATAAGCTTTCCTCATTTGTTCTCCCTTGGATTTCAGGTGCTCCTTTTTGCGTCGATGATTTTTTCCGTTTATTTCGTTTCTGCGCATTCTTAGCGACATCAAAATTCTGTTGTTATTGTAATTCTGTTTCCTTGCTTTTCACATTTCTTATTATGTTTCTCATTTTGTTTTTATGGTAAAGATGGACTAATAATGCTTTTCTTGCTTCCCAAGAAACCGGCCGTTCATGTCTTTCCTTCATAGTAGTATTTAACCTGATTACTCATTATTAATCCTTTTCTGTTGTTTTTTTTTTTAACTGTTCTGTTTAAGCAGCAATAAGGTTATTCGGGTTGTCAGTAAAATCTAGTAGCAGTTACACTATGCTTCTATATATGTTTTTCGCCGAGAAATATAGAAATTACCTGGGAAATTTTTGCCCATTTTTATTGCTTTCAAGGCCTTTTGCTATCCAATTCACTCTACTTCGGCCATGCTCATACAATCTTATTGTAGGCCTCAAGTGTCATAAGAATTATAAGTCTTAGATTCTTTGAAACTTCTTAGTTCTGATATTTCATACTCATACATTTCTTCTTTTGTTTTGCTAACTAAGTATATATGTTTATTGCACGCTTGCTTGTTTGTTTCCATGTTATCAAACATTCTTACATGGCTATTATGTCATTGAGGTTGCATTTTCTTTTTGTGCTTATTCGAAGGTTGGTTTTTCAGTTTCTACTTTGTCACCATCTATTTGTTAATATACCATCCGCATCATAGGTTTACTTGAACTTTGATAAATTAGCAAGTTGCCCCTTGAACTACTGTTCAGCAAAATTAAGCCTAAGTTTAATAAAATTTGTAGATCAGTGCCTTCAAATCGACGCATGATGTTAAAATTGAAAAGAAATAACCCTTATACCACATGACATGATGGGGCTCTATTCGTCATCTAAAATTTAAGTCTCTTCAATCAAGCTTACATAACCTATATGATACCGTTTCTTAAAATTTTTTAACAATCATCAACAATTTGGAGATACTATATAAAACCTCGTTTAATTTAGCGAATTAAAGTTTATGGGATAACTTGGCCGTTGTGAAAAATTTTAGGGACAAATTGATAAAATTATTTGTATTAAAAAATTCAAAAATCTTGCTATCGAAATAATATTTTAATGTCAATTCGTTTACTAAGAATCGTTTCTATTGGAAAAACCAACCCCTTATAATAAGATGCATATCGTATAGTTCAAACTTCTTCCCAAATAACTACAAAATTCAACCACAACTCTACCCATGGAACCAACATGGGTTTCACTCCCACATAACCAAATTCCTTAATTTACTATTGTCTGCATTTGTCTCGAAGTATTAAGAAATGTTGGTATTTTTGTTTTTTAAGTTTCAGAGAAAAATAAAAGAACTACTTGATAAGTGCCATCTGAATTAATTGAAACTGATCACTTTGCAGGCCGTGATGCTTCTTTCCTGTATTATGGCTTTCATGATAAATTACTGTGTATTTTGGAATACCACACTCAATTCAGCACTCACACAGAATATTTGTGGTAATTTGAAGGTGCGTATACTTCTCATTTCTCACCTTCTATTATTTTGAGTCTAATTATTTTTCACTTTTTTTCTAGGGGTGTTCATTCAATCCAATCTAACATGTTTTGATCATATAACAATCAATTCAATTTAAGATCGATTTTAAAAATTATATTAAATCCTCTCTAATTACTAGTATATTATTCAATCTAATTTAATTCAATAAAGGTTGGTTTGGATTGGATTGAATTAATCAGTTTTTTACTTGAATTTTTAATGCTTTTTTTATTTTTTATTTTTCTATTCAACCTATTCTGTTAAATCTTTTTGATAAAACTTAAATACTATAGTTGAAAAAATGAAGCAATAATTAACATCCATAAATCCAAAAAAGTATATAAAAGCCAAATTACTTCAAAGTTGATTAAACATCTAACAAACAACTTAAAGAAATGAAAATAAAGTTACAAACTAATATACTTAAAAAAAAATTTAGCAAAAATGAATAATGAAAAACTTAAAAAAGAAGGGGCGCGTTTGGAACTCATTCCAAAATGATTTTATTTTTTATATAAAAATGAAAACGTTTTCAATCTCGGACGAAAATCATTTTTGAAAATGTATTTGGTAGTTTTATTAAGAGATTGTTTTCAGTATAAAAAAACCTATTAATGTATCTCACTCTCTCTCTCGAGAGGAGAATGAAAATAAAAAATGAAAAATGACTAAAAGTTGTTTTTCATTTCTCTCTCATTTTACACTAAACCAAAAAATCGTTTTCATTTCCCTTTTTTAGTCTTTATTGCGCCAAACGCCGTTTTAGAAACGTTATCATTTTTTCTTTCTCGAAAAACGTAAAAAACAAAAACATGATCAATTCTAAACACGGCCATGGTGTCTAAGAGGAAAATAGAATTTAAATTTTAGACATATAATACAAATCACATTTTTATATAATATATAAAGTTTGGATCGGTCTGGGTTGGATGTTTTGAAAGCAAAATTAATATCCAATTCAATCGAAGTTGGTTCTTAAGAGTTCACGTCCAATCCAATTTAATTGAGGTCGGTTATCCGCTAAAAGTGAATTAGATTGATTAGACCGGTAAGTTTGATCGGAATCGAAGTTGGTTCTTAAGAGTTCACGTCCAATCCAATTTAATTGAGGTTGGTTATCCGCTAAAAGTGAATTAGATTGATTAGACCGGTAAGTTTGATCAGATGCGATGAACACCTTTACTTTTTCCGTGGATCATGAATTTTTCCGGGTATTTTAGATATTCTATACATGTTTTAGTTTGTCCTAATTCTCAACTTATATAAGGCATTTTGGGACAACCGTTCTCTGTAATGAAAAATAGAGAGACGAGAGAGGCATTTTGAGTCGGTTCTATCATTTATTTCTTTATCTGATTATAGTAATATGTTGCGCAGCTACAAGTAGATTTAACTTTTACATTAAAAGTGAACCACTATGAATTATATGTATGCTTTGTTTATTTTGTTTGCTATTGTTCTTGTTTTCTTATTGCTCTCAAATAGTATGAACACGGCTTTTAATTTCCTAACATAATGTTCATCAAAAGATTGCAAAAATACTCTTTTCACTATTTTCGAGCTGGTGTAATTCTCTTTTCAATTTGGTGTAAGAAATGACATCTCCATACATATGGCTGCAAGATCAGTTAATAAATTTCATCAATTTTCAGTAAATTCCAATAAAGCACTTTTAGTATGAAAGAAACAAGAAGATAATAACGTCAGTAAATTCCAATACAGCACTTTTAATGTGGAAGGAATAAGAAGATTATAACGTCTGTTGTTTCTGTTGATAACCATAACTTTCAACCAAGTTAAAAGTGAAAAAGAATTTTTTGTTAATTGACTTCTAATTCAATTGGTCACTCAAAAGTGGTAACAGATAAAGTGTTGGACCTCATATCAGCTTTACCTCATTTTTAGTCTATAAACTTTTGGTTTGTTAGGTTGGCACAACATAATCTTTGTCAATTTTCATGCCCAGTGACCAATCACAGAATATCACTACTTGCATGTTGCAGGATCTTTTGACAATTGGGCTTGGCTGGTTACTGTTTGGTGGGCTTCCCTTTGATTTGGTAAAGTCCAAGCCGGTACAAGCAAGTAAAAAATATAATGTAATAAATAGCATATTTATAAAACTAGCTAAATAGTAGATTTTAAAATTATTTTAAGTAAATAGTAGTTTAGTATGTAAATTTTTTTTTATTTCCAGGTAAAATTTTTTTTTTTATGACCGGTGGAAAGATTTTTTTTTTTTTTTTTTCACGTAAAGATTATTTACCATGTCAATTATTTTTTACGAGTTGTTAATGAAACATTTATCTGGTAAACTGCTATTTACTTTAAATAGTTTTAAAATATAATATTTATTTAATTTAGTTTTATAAATATGCTATTTACTATAATTTTCTTTTATTTTTATTTTACTATTGTTATGTTATTCTAATAATTACCAGTCATGGTAGTAATTTAGTAATTATTTACAGTATTAAATAATTATTGACGTGACAATCATGCCAAAAAAAAAGACAAACAAAATGAGCGTTATTTATATAAAAAAAAAAAATGTGATAAGAGACATTTAACCCTAGTACAAATTGGTTCACGATCTTCTGATATTTTCTATTTTTTTTCTTTTTTCATTTTCGTAACTTCCACTATTGAACTATTTGTCTCTTTTCGTTCCAGCTAAATGTTGTTGGCCAATCTCTTGGATTCTTTGGTTCCTGTTTGTATGCTTACTGTAAACTTCGAGGTAAGTAAGCGGTAAAAATGGCTGGTCATCGCTGTCTATATCAGCTGCCAAATTTTGACTTGGTGAATATTCAAGGTTTTTAGCGTATAATTAGACCTCAAAAAAAAAAAAAAAAAAAAAAAACTGATGTGAACAAAGTCAAATTACTTCTTATACTTTATATCTTTCTATTATAGATACCAGAGCTTAATCTTGGTACAATTTTTCTGGTATAATGCAAGTTAAAATTTCACAAATCAAATGAGGAATAATAATGGCTCTTTCTGTCCTCCCACAAGTCCATATTATAGGAATCAATAGATTTATGTTAGACTTTATTGATAATTTGGTGGGGAACTTGTTAAATTTAATCAATTTTAGAGTCTTAGTCTGTTTTGTTACAACATGGTATCACAAATTTCCACGGTTATCATTGGAAACTTTGTGAACCTTACCTTCTCAAAAGTGACCAATGTCTATATAATGTCTGAGATTCATTTTATTTCTTGGTCACTCACCACTTGTACGTCTAAGATAGCATTGAATAAGGTTTCTTTCTCTCATTGAAGCAAAAAAAAAAAAAGAACCAAAAAAGTATAAAAAGTAGACTTTTCTCAGTTAGGTCCGTATGGCAACTGACTTGTAAAGAAAGGTTGAATCAGGCGAGATTATGTCCTAAAGAGTGAAAAAGAGGACTGATATCTATCTAACAAATTTGCAATTCCAATTTTTCTCTTTTGAAAAAGTGCTTGAGGTTTCTTGCTGATTCCACTACCTCCAGTCCACATGTGTTGGTTGGTGATTTTTTTTTTTTTTTTTTTTTTGAGAGATTCTAGGGAGGAAAGCCTGGCTGTGCATGTGTGGACAGTCAAGGTTTTTTTTTTTTTTTTTTTTTTTTAGGAAAAGAGATCACATTTTGCACATTCATACTTATACATATCTAAGGGTTCTCTTTGAATCTTTAATTTAAAAAGAGCATGCAGTAGAAGGTTTAGTGGCATATATATCTGAAAAACAAATAAATAGAGAAAATTACGAATAAAATCCAACAGTTCTATATTTATACATTCTTTCTTGATTTAAAGAAAATATATATATTAATATTATGCTAGAATACTCTCTGAAGATGTCTGACCATCTTTATCGAGAAGAAAAAGTAATCTGGTAAGATATTTATCAAGATATTTTTTGATCAATTGAGTAGTATAAATTAACCATTTGGGGGCGTAATTATAAAAATAACATCTATTGAGTGATATTTTTGTATTTCTCCCTTTAAAATGAAGGCAAGGGATAATAAAGTTAAAAAAAAAAAAAAAAAAAGTAGTTTGTTTAGGAAAAGAGATGTTCAAATGTAACATATTTGAATGGGATTGTTAAGAAAAGGTCACTCATGCACTGTCTTGGATTGATATCATGTTAAGAAAGTCGGTTTGCTTTCCTGATTAGGGAAAGGCCAACATGGCCCATGCAGCATGAAAGAAGAAGAAAAAATCTCACTTATGACTGGGAGCATGGATGTTTCTTTGTTCACTTCTTTAATCATCATCAAGAGCCTCGAGGACCATTTAGACCAACCATTTTCTGGTTTCTCCTCTTTTCTTGATGTTTTTGTTTGTCCCCAAAAAAAAAAAAAAAAAAAAAAAAAAAAAAAAAACAGAGCATAGGAGACAAATATGACGGGTTTAGATTTTTACATGTTACTCTTAATTAATATCTTTTTTAATCAAATATTATATTAGTCAAAATGATATTAATCAAGAGTAAATAGTAAAATTCTAAACTCGCACACTCTAAAAGTAAATTTAATAATTTTCTCAAAAAAAAAAAAAATATTGAACAATTATTTTATAAAAAGTAATTAAATACCCTAAATTGTAACACATTTGACAGATTTATACCCATAAAAAAGTTTAGGCAGATTGTCAGCAAACTTTTGGGGTATGTATAGTAAATCGTAATTGAACCTAATGAGAAAGGTAATTATTTAGAAAAGAAAGATAATAAATAAGAATAAAGAGTTATTGATTTCTTTTTAATGTTTAGTTATTTGTTACTTAGTGAAACGAAAACAAAATCAATTTACTGTTTAGCGTTACCAAACTGAGGTATATAAATCTTATTAATTCAATTATTAATATATAGTTATGCACAATTAAATACTCCTTGGTTTTGATAAGGATATGTAACCAAATTCATCTGTTATTCTAATTAAGGAGAACAACATCAAAGGGGAGATAAATTCACATTCTCTTCCCTATCGCATACATCATGTGCGCCTCACTGAAATACTAATACAATTTTTGATTTTGTAATAAACACATGAATAAGTTGGAAAGAGAAACACTCACTTTCTTTTTTATATTCATATGAAGTAAACATATATCTTTGGTGCAGATTAATTTGTTTACGGAGAATTTGATTAGAAATAGCCAATTAAATTTGTACAAAATTTAATCCCTATTTTTATAATTGGCATAATTGGCATTGTACCACATGTTGAATTCCATAACACAAATCAATAAACATCAAGAGTTGGGGGGTTTTTTTTTTTTTTTTTTTCTATCAATAAAAGAGTTGGTTTATTTTGGTACAAACTACAAAATTAAAATCTCAAGGGTACAATATGGTGTAACATGTCAAATGCACTATGGTTCGTAAGTGTAAAATATTGTCATTTGTTTAGATATTCTTTTAAAAAAATAATCTAAACCTAAAATCAAATCAAGGAAATGGAAAGCTAGACAAAGTACCTCTCATGAAAGAGTCTTTAGTTGAAGAAAGAGAAAGTCATAGGATCTGGTGAGGAAAGAAGAGAAAGGAATTAGTAGTATTAGTAGAAGTGCTAAATGAGAATGGTTTAAGGCGTGGGGGGAATCTGTTTGGGGTAGTGGCACGCGAACTTATCGCCCCAAATCATGAGAGAGACAGAGAAGGAAAGAAGTCTTCTTATTATTATTATTATTTTTTTTTCTTTTTTACAAAAGGTTAAATATATATATATATAAAGGGTCTTTTGCACTTCCCAAAATCTTCAAAGAGGAGAGAATTTTAAAGAAGTGGACCTTGAAAAATATGAAGAAAAGAAAAGGGAATTTAATTGAGTGTGTGGTGAAATGGGGAAAAGAAGTAAGCAAAGCCCAAGGAAGGTGTCCCCTGGTGCACACCCAAGGCAGGGCTCCTTTAGCGCCGGTGTCTCCGCTTTGGGTTGTTTCATTTTTTTTTTTTTTTTTTTTTTTTTTTTTTTTTTATTTTTTTTGTTTTTTTTTTTTTTTTTTTTTTTTTTTTTTTTTTTTTTTTAAGTGTTTGTGACTTTATCTTTGAGTGTGTGCTCAAATGCGTGTGTGTTTGTCTCTGTGTATGTGTGTGTCACTCTAAGTGTAAACTTTGTACGTAATATCTTTTCTGAAGGGAAATTTTATTGTAAAGTATAAAAAATAGAAAATGTCTACAATTTGGCAGTCATATATGTCTAACATTTTTCTTGTCATTCTAATATTATTCGTATAATACTTATTTTATTTAAGTGTAACACTCAATGTAGTCTACTGCTATGTTATAGTTAACTTGGTTCACTATTATCAAGTTATACCGAAAAAATTACGAGAGCATATGATATATGTAACATGTACATGACTTTTTCAACGGTTACTATTTCTGTTCAGGTCATCTACCTCTGAATCCTTCCGATGATAACGACGATAATTCTAGTGATGCTGCTAATTTAGGAGATTAATTTTTATTTCCGTACATTTCTACTATAATTACATTTTTATTTTATTTTATTAATTACTTTCTATAATAATAATAATTTTTTTAATATTTTTTATTATTTGTTTCCTTTTATTTAATTGTTGTTTATTATTATAATATCATGAATTATATTTAATATTGGGTTTAAATATATAGTAATATACAACATTAATTATTAAAATGAGAAAAAATAAATAAAAAATTAAAATATTATTTGCGATGATAAATGTGGTCGCAAAATATTTAATGCCACGTCAGCTAATTCTGCATATTTTGCGACGACTTAATTCGTAAAATATCGTCGCAAATACTCAATGTCATGTCATCTTAAAAATGTAACCGACGAAATAATTGCATCGACTCATTTGCGATGATTGTCGTATAATTGCGACGACTGCTTGTCATCGCAAAAATTGTTTTTGCGACGAATCAATTGTGGCGACAGTTTTACAACGATAAATGGTCACTAAAAATTCATTTGCGACGACTTTGTATGTTTAGCAACGACTTTTTATCGTCGCTAATAGCCCTGTTTCTTATAGTGTGTATCGTATCAAGACTACAACTAAAAATATATCCTACTAATAGGACAATGTTCTAAAACGATGGATCAAGTAGAATTACCCCAAAAAAGGTAAATTATTAGTAATAAGCCTTCCAATTCATCTAAATCAAATGATCATATTTATTAAAAAAAAGTGTGATAATATAACGGAGATATAGACGTCTAATGGTTCATAATTATATTTTGCAATAGATAATTTTTCATACTTTAAAATTATCTTATTATTTTTGGGAATTTTTTTGGTGCTCTCTTTTTTTAGGAACACTGTTGTTCCCTACTTAACAATCGTCAAATTTGTATTATTTTTTAATTTAATTTGACTTTTGACCAAATTTAATACAGATTCAATGACGGATAAGTAAAGAATACTAATATTCTTAAAAAAGAAAAAAAATACCTGATAAAGTCCCATTATTAATTTTCCCCTCCTGATCTCTTCTCAACAGAAACTTCTTTCTAGACAAAAAATCCTTTTGCTGACATTCTGCACTCCTGTTCCCAAGATTCCTCTCTCTTTCTTCATGCTTTCTCTTTCTATATGCACAAGAATTTGACCACTCTCAATTAGTTTCTATATACGTATGGAATCAAGAGTACAACTACTTATTTTTGTACTAAAAAGTCCTACATTTAGGTTAAGCAGACAATATTCCTAGTAATAGAATTGGATGTCACATAATAACCGTCTTAAAACCGGCTTTTGTTCCCATCTATATATTCCTGATTGCTACATTAAACCTGTGTTCCTTTTTATAAATTTTATCTTTGTCATGTAGTGTGTTGGTGTTGAGGATCTCAGATTTTACGGAATACGCATTTTAGATAATGAAAAAAAATAAGACAATATTATTAATGATCCAATTCCTAGCTAGTTATTCATTAAAAAAAAAAAAAAGGCCGAGCTAGTTATGTTCATGATCATGCATAATAGAGTGCTTAGCCAATATGTAGCATGCTTGATCAATTTGTGTTGAACAATAACATTGCATCTTTTTAAGCTTCACCATAATGATAATCTAAATATTTAAAAGCCTTTAAAAAATTATAGTCTAGATATTTAAATGAGCCTATAGATCACAAAGAACTTAGTACACATATAATATTGGGAAGTGGGTTGCTCAGTTATTGAAGGATAAATACATTTTGTTTACACAACTTACATATAAGCCAACTATCTTATTCGCTCTTATTATATAATATATAGTCTTTAGATTAATTATCAAATATGATACATTTAAAAAGGTGGGGATTAGAATAATAGTAGTCCTAAAAAGAGCGAGAGGCCAGGGTACAATCAAAAGGAGTTGTTTGGGGTTTTTGGTGGAGAATATTTCAGGTGCATGCGCAAGAAGGGCGGGAGAGAGAGAGAGAGAGAGAGAGAGAGAGAGAGAGAGAGAGAGAGAGAGTTTGATTTGTATTTGAGTACAAACTAAGCATGGCAAACCCCTAAAGTAAGTGTTTGCTCCCTCTTGACATCATTCCACTCACCTTCTTCACCTTCCCATCCCGAGGCAGAACCTACCAGTGTTTACATACATTCTATATGCCTCTCCACCGCTTCAACTATATATCCCTAGCTCACTACTAGTATTTCCATATATCTCAATTACTCATCTTCTCTTAATTCCCTCTCTATCTTTCTCTCTTGCTTTATCTTTGTGATATATATATATATATATATATATATATGGTTTCCGTATGATCACCAAGAATATGTATATTTACTAGCTAGTTGTAATTTCCATATATATATATATATATATATCACATGTGTTTTAGGTCATGTAGTTGTAGTTTCCTTTAGAAAGAAAATGACCCTTGAACCATTGCACATCACTTTTCCTTTTTCTTCTCTCGCTCTCTCTTTTTTCTTTTTCCTTTTTAACCACATGCCCTTCGTCTTCTCCATGAGCTGTTTTGATCCCTACACAATTGAGTTCATTACATGACATACATATTCATATACATATGCCTATATCTATATATGATAGTGCTATTTTGATTTGATTGATCATCTAAGTGCTTACATGTATAGGGATTCCAAACAGTCTTTTGTAGCTCTTACTACTGTATATTTGATTCAACTATGGGCCCTGTCCCTGATAGTCAAATATTGACATAGATTGATGAAAGCTGTCATTTTAGATTTTGTTCTTATGCATGTATATATATATATATATATATTTATACACACACATACATATATATTCATATTTACCCTTGGAATTAGTGTGTATAAATTAGTTTAGTGCGTAAAAGTATGATCCTATAAGATCCACTGACTCCATGATTTAGTTTGTCTTTGATTCGTATATTCATATTTTAGAGGTTATTTTATAGATGAAGCTCCACTAATTGTGTTATGCTCTTCGCATTTTCCATACCCCAGGTATTTATAAAAGGGTGGATATACAAAATTAGCACTTACACACATATATAATATGCACATCTATGTATTAAGTTATTTTTGTGGAATTGAATATCATGATTTAAAGATCCCCACCCACAATTAGCGTCCTCCAACCACCAAAAGATGAGATATTCCCACCACCCTTCACCTTCTACTCCTACTAACTCCACCAAGCTAGACACACCTTTTTCCTACATTGAATTGCCTGAAATCTAACTGATTATTCTCTTTTGGGCCATTTGTTGGGTCCATAATTTGCCATTCTTTATTCAAGTAGTTCTTTTCCTTTTTGTTAGGTAAGTGGTACCAACCTGTGAGCCTAAAAGCCGAAAGACCTCATTGCAATATTCCCCCTTTAAACCGACAGACATGGTTTGAAAACCCTTATATGTATATTGATTGGTCTTTTCTTGTTGCCTATATATTGATCGTTTCATGCATGTTAATGTGCATGAGGTGATGAACTTTCGCTTTCTTTTCTTTTGCCTTTCTCTCTTTTTTATAGACATAGAGAATAGGAGAGGTCATGTGTGATGGATGTTTGGGAAGCAAAAGAAAGCGATGTTGGTGAGGTTCAATCCAAAGACGGATTTACGCGTAAATTCGATCTTAAGATTGAGCCGCGCCAATATCACTTTCGTTTAGAGTTCAGTTTCTGATCAATTGCTTCTCCTTAAAACATCAGAGCCATGTTCTCTTCTTGTTATACACTAGTTATATATTTCTACTTTATACCAACTTGACTATTCCTATATATGTGTCTACTTTTTGCATGTATATTGTCTAAAATCTATTTTCTTTTGTCCCCATATATTTCTTCTTTCTTTCCCCTATTATCCTCAGCAAATATGGCTTCTTCTTTTGCTCGTCCCAAGCAGTTGCCTCTCCACATATACAATAGGCTGGTATACGATCTCTATGTGGTAAGCTCCCTCTCTCTCTCTGTCTCTCCCGCACGCAAATTCTCTCTCGTTCATATCTCTCTGTGTGTGTGTGTATTTATATGTATATATATATATATATGTATTGTCGAAATGAATGAAATAGTAAAGTTCCTATTCTTTTAAAATAATCTCTATTGCCACCAGACATTATTTAATAACTCATATATATATATATATATATATGCGTGCGTGTATAAATATATGTAGACACATAACTTATACATACGTAGACACGCGTACATTTCGTGAACTGGGAAGATCCCGTATATAGGATAGAGCATCATGGATATGAAAAGATCACAGCTGACTATAAACATTTTCAAGTACAATAATAGTTCTCAACATTTTTAGGTACGGCATCAAAAGATTATTTCTAGGATGATCGAAGTGATGATCATGAGATATTACTATTTACTACTACTGTTGGCTGTTGCTATCTACAGGTACTGAAGATTTCCTTTTTTTTTTTTAATCTTTTAAATGATCAAAGATTTTATCAAAGTACTAATTAGCTATAGTTTTGACCTTTTCTACCATAATTTGCGGAGTTTGTGTCCATTTCTTATGTCAACTTTTGTCTTAAGAAATGGGATTTGTGTCTAAACACATGCTCTGGGAAATGAACTTCCATGATAATCATATCATACCATAATGTATTCAAACAATTAACATATATAAAGTGAAACAGTTTTTCCCAACTAATGTGTCCCCCCAATGCTTTTAGCTTTATATTCGATTTTATATTTGAAGCGCACAAACTAATATGCACATATTTTGATTTACTTATTCTTTTTGAGTTTAACAGTACTAAGCAAATTAATTAAGTACTTCCTAATTTGCTTTTCACAAAACACAAAGGAAAATTTTGTGTCTGCAACTAAATTAGTTGACAATTATAGCCTATTCTTCTGTAACTTGGATGTAGTTTTATTTAATTTATTATTAGCATGTTTATGTTGATGAAATGTACTTGAGTTAATGTTCTAACAATATTTCGCAAAAATCTTCACGTGTCTTTTTTTTTTTTTTTTCTTTTTCTTTTTAAAGAATGAATTGCTCTTTTT